GCGGCACGCGTCCCCGCCGTCCGCCGGGACCCGTGCCTTCCGCCGGCGGCGCTTCTCAGGCGGCCGGTGAGAAAGGCGGCCCGGCCGGCCACGCCATCGCCCGAGGCCTCCGCCACCGCGCCGGTAAACAGTAATTTCTGGTAGCAGGCGAATCGGCGGCGGCGACGTCGTTCCCAGGCCTGCCGCGGCCGGCGCAGCGCGCGGCCATTAGGGCAATTTGCTGCGCCGCCGCTACCGGCGACCGTTGGCGGCCGGTCAGGAGACAGCGCTCTGGGCTCTGTTATCGCTGCACCAGAGATGGTGAGCGCTGTTAGCGACCATTGTGTCCGGTAATGATGTGGAGCCGGACCTGCGCCGGGCTCCGATCAAGGTTGGAGAGGAGCGCCGCTCTTCGGGGGCCGTCTCCGCGCGCCGCCGGCCCGCCGGCTTTGTAGGCCGCCGGAGCGGCGCGGCGCGGTTTTTACGTGCGCCGAGGTGCATGACGCCGCCGGGGACCCCGTGGCTATTTATTATGGGCAGTCCCCCTCGGTTCCCAGGGCTTTGTCTCCGGCGAATTCGCCGCCTTGTCTCCGGGTCTTCGCCAGGAGACCTGCGCTGAATTCACTCGTATAAAGAGGCGGTCGCGCCGGGGGCTTGAACTTCTAAAAGCTGCTATTTGCGTTTGTGATTAATAGATTAGCGGAGGTTTTGTCTCGGCGTGCGGCTCTGCGGTCGCGGTCCGGAGACGTCGCTGGCTGCCGGACCATTCAGATGCTGCGTCGGCAGCGGCGCGGCCGGCTCCTGGCCGTTCCCAGGCCGCGCGCCGATGAATGCCGCTCTGTACCGGCGCACTTGATGTAACGTTGCTATTATTTTCTTTATGTGCGAACGGCGCGCAATCGCGGCGACCGCCTGGCCGCCTGGGAATGGCCGCCGAACGGTTCTCGGTCCTGGGAACGTGGCTGTGCTTCCCAGGCCGGCGCCGGCAGGTGCTTTAAAGTCCGACGCTCGGCGCGGCGGTCGTGACGCGGTGGCGGTGGTGGCAGCGCGGTCCGCGGCCGGCGGCGTCTGTGCCGCGGGCGGTCGGGCCGGGTCGCTCGGCAGCGCTGTCCCAGACAGGTGTCCCTCGCAGCTCCCCCGGCTCAGCCCGGCGCTGTGAGCCGCCGGTCCCGCGCGGCACGCCTATTGCCGCTCAATGGAGACCGTGCCGCGCTCAATGGCCCGCCGGCGGCGGAATGCGGCGCGCGCCGCTCCGATCGCATGCGAAATCGGCGCGGCACCTGCCCACATTCCGACGGTGCCCCCGACGTGCCGACGGACGCCCTGGGGACGGCCCGAGGTCTCTGGGGCGGGCGGGAGCCGCTCTGTGCAGCGACCCGGCCTGCGCCTCCCCGGCGGCGGAGGCCCCTTTGTTGACCCTCCGCCGAGGCGAGATGAGCTCTGAATGCCCGGCTGGAGATGCGGCGGATTTCCCGCCGACCGACCGACCGGCGGGCCTGCCGGGTGGCTGACGGATACGATCGTGCGCTGGGCGAGTCCCTCCCTTCCCGCGGCCGCCGTGTTCCGAGTGACTCCGCTCCGGTCGGAGTCGGCCGGTCCAGTGTCGGAACATCAGCTGCTCGCCGGTCGGTTACCGACCGGCTCAATGGCGGCAGCTGGCGGCCCACCGGCCGCCGCCGGGCCCACAATGCCGGCCCGTGCCCGCCGTCTTGGGTTTAAAGGGCCGTCTCGAGCGCCGCCACCTGGAGCCAACGGTTTTCCTTTTGTGCGCGAGACGCGGGACGCGCGCCGGCCGTTGTCGCCACGTGCTCCATTGTGCTGCGCCGGTTTAAAGTCCTGCCGCGGCCACTGAGAACGCGTCCGGCCGTGTTCGCAGCACCTCTCGCACGACCCTCCAAGGGTGGGAGCCGGCGGCGCGGCGGCGGCGGGATGCGCCACGCTCGGCGACATGTGGTGACGCGTGACGCTTCTCACGCGGAGCTTCCTTCCGAGCCGGCTTCCCACGGACGGAGGTGACCGACGGAGCTGTCGGACGGAGCTGCCGTCGGACGGTGTCGGCGACCGCTGACGGACGACCGCGCCGCGCGCAGACAGAGATGGGACGAGAAGAGACGGGAGCAGAGAGGGTCAGAGACCGGATGCGGGTGGCTCTGCTGCACTGCGTTGTCTTCCATGGATATTTTTCTGTCTTGAAGTATAACATGCAGCACACATCTCTCGAAGAACGCGTACTGTTCGAACAGTTTTGTTCTTTTTATAGACTCTGAACAGCTCATGTTCTTTACAACTAAGCAGTCGCGCCGGGTGCGGGAAGGCCCATGACGGCAGCGGTCCGAGATTCCTCGTCTAGCATGCAGCTGTCGGAGGAGCCTCGCCGTCTCCCACCGGCTGCCGCCGTCTCCCAGGCGGGCACGTGTGTACTCGGGACAGTGTGAGACGCACACGCGGCCACACTCGCACGCCCGCCCGTCAGTGGGAACTGGAGTACGCTTTATCCCAAGTTGTGAATGGTGGGTGCCTCCTTCCCGGACTCACTGATCGGATACCACGGCGGTGGGACCGTACACACGCGTACTCACGTGGCCGCGACGTGGTCCGGCTTCCTTCCGGTGTTGGTCTCGGGAGGTCCTGTCCGTGGGATTCGTGACATCAGCTGTGGTCTGATTCACCAATCGGGGAATTCTGTCTTGTCCAATGGCTTAGGCATTGGACCAGACTCCGGTGTAAGGATAGCGAGTGCGATGAGCACTTGCGCTACCAGCGTTTGATCACGTTTTGGGATTTGTACGATGTGTCACATATGTAGGCCGTAACATAACATGACATCGGACCGCACGACACTGTCTTGCTGCCCGATACTAATGTGACACGTTTATAAATATCACGCATCCAGACTTACATTCCTGAAATGCACTCTGTACCCACTGCCTGAACAAGCTAATTCAGCAGCTCAGTGCATTCATCTCCCAAACATCCCACCTCAAACACTCCCAATCATAGAAACACAGTCTGAATCACAGCTCGGAGTTTCTGTTTGTCCAGGAGGACTTAGCCACTGTATGCAGTCAGCTCAGGCTGTCACATAACACGCCACGGCTCGTCTCCGGTGGCGGGGCCTTGTCTCGACCGTCTCCGGCCGTGTGCGGCACCTCCGGCTATCTTATCACGCACATGGCGTTTCTCATACGGCTGCCGTTAGTACTGCGCCTTGGGAGGCGCGGAGGCAGCCGCACCGTCATCCCCCGTCACTAAGACGGTGCAGGCTGGCAGATTGGCGCCCATGTGTGGACTTAATGGCAGATGTTCACAAAGAAAATGTTTCAGTTGGGGACCATGGGGATTCCCGTCTTAGATAAGGCACAGCACAGGGTACTGCGTAGCATATGCAGTGCGCCTTTGTTTAATTCGAAGATGCACAGCACACACCTCACATGATCGTACATAAATTTGTCGCATGCTGCGGCCGATAATGATACCTCTGTTGTACTCCGCCTCCCTCCGTTCTCTCATCTCCCCGCCCCTCCCCTGCCGCGATGGAGAGAGGGTTCGTTCTCGGTCTCGGTCGGTCAGCCGCCGCCGGTGCCGACGGGGGGACGGCGTGCCGTCCATTTGCCGCCGGCTGCGTGTCGACGGCGGCGGCGGCGCGGCGCATTGTGGGCCGGTGGCCGGCCGACCATCGATTGGTGGCCCATCATCACCGTGAGAGCGGGCCACCTGACTGCCCCCCCCCCCCCGCGCCGTCCGTCCCCGCTCTGCCCCTGCCGCGCACCCAGCCACCGCCACCGCCGCGGCTATGGATGCAAATACTGCGCCGTGGTACCGGCACTACGCATCTCATGCATTGTTGATTTGCTGGTGAAATGATAGCGGAACGGACTGATGTATGTGAGCTCTGGCGTGATGTCGCCGCTTGTGTCGCTGCGACTCGGGCGTGGAGGTGTCACGCGAGGGTCAGATTTGTTCCGATATGCTGCCAAACGGTAGTTATACGCACACTGGACCGAGTGCCGGGCAAATTGGGCCGTTTCATGTTTCCCCTAGACACGCAAATGGACCAACAAATGAACAATTATTTTTCTAGTTTCTCTAATTGGTTTCCCATTATGTAGGCATAGTTGGTTCCTGTGCATGATGTGTAATTAGCTTCATTGGCACTCACCGCCGAACCACACGAATTACTGCGACCGAAAAAGAACAGTCGTGTTAGTGTCTGTCTACTGCACATCAAGGTTTTTGCCGATCTTTTGTCCGCATATAGGACCACCCATCTGAGAGACTGTCCCCTGTCCCATTACTGGTGTCAGCGGGCGCATATTCGCTCTGGCTGGGTGGCGTTAATTGGTCGCGCCGCGGCCTCTGGGCTCGGCGGCTGTCACGGTGCGCCATTCTGTCGTCACCTGTGCGCCACATTGACGTGTCACGGCGCCCTGCGTCGGACCCGGGACCGGGCGTTGTCTCCTCCTGACGCCGAGGCGGCTACAGTCGCCTTTGTCCGTCAGTAATAAGCATCGACGGCTCGACGCGCATTCACAACCGCTCAGCATTGAGTGCATTTTAATGGCCGGCGGCGCTGTGCCGCGCGCCACAATGGTCGCGGCGCGGTAAGAATGCGGCGAACGCGGCGCGGCCGACACTCGGCGGGACGACTGATTGTCTCCGTCTGTGACGGAGCTGACACGGGGAGACACGAGACGAGGGTAGGACGGAGACAAGTATGGAGACGCGAACAGACTACGGCCTCGCACAGGGAAAACTGCAGTGTGTTTTAATTCGATCCCGAAAGTCATCATAATCATCATAACTTGTTCTCGCTAACTTTGCGACAACATTATTGTTTGTTAATTACGATAGCAATATGCAAAGCTCCCATCCCCTCCGTCCCGAGCAGGTGCCCCATTCACCGCCGCCGGGGACACGTGCCCAGCTGCGCCGGTGCACCCGCTCCCCTCGCTCACGGTCGGCTGCGGCCGGCGGGGAGCGATCACGCCCGCTCTGACCGTCTCCCCCTCTGTTTATTGCAGGGCGCGTACAGCTACGGTCAGTACGACGAGCGTCCCGCTGAGGTGTGGCCGCCACAGACGCCGGACGCCGGCTACAGCACACCGACGTCCCTGGCACAGCAGCACCAGGACCAGCAGCAGCAGCAGCAGCAACAGCAACAGCAGCAGACGCACACCAACAACAACTACTACCCGCAGGTGAGTGGCGGAGCGAGCAGCTACTGAGGTGGAGAGCAAACGACTGAGCATGATCCGCCGGGTGTTTTTTTCAGTAGTGATATCACTGCTAACAGCCCGTGCGGTGTTAGGCTAGCTCAACACTGTTCGATTAAGTCCGAGTCGAGTCAGCCACCGTTATGTCTCCCGCAGTCTCTCGGGTTCCCTGTCCAGTACGAATACGACCCCAGCTCGGTGACACGGGGGCTACTGTCCGGCCGGGAGACGGCGGCTTATCTGGGCCGCTGTTTGCCCGTCAGCTCGGTAGCCGGCCTATCTGGCCTCCTCAGAGTGGGTCCCTGTGTGCGGCCGGCTCTATCTCTGGTGCTGTGTGTCCGCCTGGGTCGGTCGGTGTTGACACGCGCTCCGCCCCGCGCTGGCCTGTGACGCCCACTGTCTGATGAATAACGGTACAGAAGTCGGGCTACTGGTGAATGATAACGGCCCCGATCCAGCCGAAACGCGAGTTCTGTTTGCCCAACGTCTGCTCCTGCCTTCCGTTCTGAATACATTTATTGTGTCCGCAATCCACTGTGTAATCCAGTGCCTAGTATTACTCAGTTGCTATAATTACAACTGCCCTGTGAGCAGAAAGTAGCGAGAAGAATCACAGTTAGGCTGCACTTACGAAAATCGCGTAGAAAAGTTTAGTCTTCTCTGCCAGTGTGAGCTAACGGTACGTCATTGTTATACCGTATTGTCACCATGCCAAATGCCATTGCTCGTACTGACCATACCGCGTTCGTCGGCAGACGGACGGTATCCTGACGGAACTGGGCGCGGGCCTCGCGCCGCCGCCGCCCACCCCGGGCTCCCACCTGCCGCCCGGCTACCCCGACAACCACCCCGTGGACCTGAGCTCGCCGCGACCCGACCTCGACTACCGGCGGGACCCGTATAAACCCACCGGACTCAGTCTCAACATCCAGGACGGTGAGTACTCCGGCCGGGCCCCTCAGTCAGTGTCCTGTCTGTGTGTGTTAGAGTGGGGACCCCAGTCCCTACTTCCGTGTACAGAGCCGCACTCCCTGGGGCATGTCCAGTGACCAGGTTTCCCCTGCCTCGGTTGCCGACCGCCACGGCATACTCTCCCAACGGCAGCATCTCACGCGAGCTGGAGCCCATATCGCGCGGTGCTTTCGCTCGTCTTTCCCACCAAGTCGCGTTGCTCACGTCGCGGTGCTGAGGCTGGTGTGAAGGTGCGGCCGGGCGCGTCCGAGTGCCGTGTAACAGGCGGGCCCCGCCCTGCGGAGCCGCTCGACGGCACCGGCTCACACCCATCGGTCGGCGGGCGGCGGAGCGAGGTGGAGCCTCCACGGAAGGCCGGCCGGCCGAGACCGATCAGTGTCCCGCTAACAGGCCGCACTGACATGCTCGGAAGGCGGCACGGGGGTCGGGGAGGAGACGATTAGATCTCGCGGAGAGCTGGACAGGAAAATCGGGGTATCTGAACCGCTCCGGCCTAATATTAGCGCTAGTCGCCGTCCTTAACGTATCAAGCCCAGTCTATGGTGATTTTCATTTCTTTGCGTTGCGGATTAGTCCGAAACCGTGGCGCCCTTGCCGTGATCTCCAGCCCGGGTTTATTGATCTCCTATCGGCATCATTTGTCTTCTCCGGCTCGTCTGTCGGTTCTCACCTTCCCGGGCCGGATGTCGGGGGCGGCCGTCTCTCCTATCTCCCCATCTGAGCCGCCGCGGAGGTTACACCATTCTCTCCCGCCGGCCGGCCGGCCGCCGTCCAACTTGGCTGACCGATCGCCGGAAGCCGGCAGCGCCGGTGCGCGCTCCCCGCGGCCGGCCAACTTTTACTGCTCCGTGTGCGTCGTTGACCCATCGGCCCCGCCGGTTCGTACCGGTTCAAGTTGGAAAGTGTGTTCGCCTCACTCCCTCGCAGTGGGCGCTCTCTGCGGCCTTTGGAAGCTGAATCAACGTCACGTGGACAATACGAGGCTAACTGCTGCCGACACCTGGTCTTATCCGCCCTGTCCTGTCATTTGCTCAAACCGGCCCCGTCCCGTTCTGTATGGTGTCGGGAATGGATCTCCCTCCCCCGGCTCCTCTGTTTGCTCGTGGCTACCTGAGAGCGGTGGCTACCGATCCCGCTCACCCCCACTCTCAGTCTCGGCTGTGTGTTTGGTCAGCTCGCCCCAGCCGCGCGGCTCTGTTGACAGAAGATTGTCGTCGCTGGCTGCGTCAGTGCCCGCGTCAGAAGTCTGGGCGACACGCAGGGCTACCGCACGCGCCACGCGCTGGGAAAGTCTGCCTTGGACCGGGTCTGTGCCGGCGCCCCGGGGCAGTGACCACTTCCGAGAGCGCTATCCCGTGGGCCGGCCGTTTTTAGTGGCACCCAGCGCCGTAACGAGGTGTAATCGCCGGCCGGTGGTGACGGTACGGCGCTCTGCGGCCGCCCCGGGGCACAGCGCCGGCGGTCCCACGGCCAGCGGCCCGGCAGCTCCTGACCGGCCGGGAACGGTGACGGGCGCCGCCGGCTGACTTACCGCTGCGAGCCGACCACTGACTGCCAACCAACCAATGATCAACCACCACTGACCACAAACTATTCGCTATCCGGCACTCGGTCCAAGTGCAGATATTCGCCATAGACCGGCGCTGAATGGTGCGGTGTGTCGGAAAGAGCTGGGTGATTTGAAAGTAGTGATGACCTGACTTTAGGTCACCTTTGTCATGGTGATTGGCTTGGTTTGGTTTGATTCGATTAGACAGCTAAGATACCTCCTTGTTATACAATAATGTTGGGTGAAAAGATCAAGCATTCTTTTCTCATAATATTTGAGAAAGGAATCTTAAAATCAAAAAGTCTTCAACATTCGTTTCTTTTTATCTACGAGTTAAAATCCAGACATTGCTCAGTTAACGATGGAGCTTTATTTTCACTGTCTCCCACTCTGGCACGTCTGCGAGTTCCCAGGGCTCTCAGTGGCGGCGCGGTCAGTTGGGCAGCGATTTCGGTTCGGCGCCGATTTGGCAGTCATTTCTCTCCGTGTCTGAGGAGCCGGTGGGCGGCGGCGGTGTCGGCGCGTGCCTTCGGTCGGCTGCCGGCGCTGTAATGATCGTCTCGGCGGTCCGCCCTCAGCCGGCGGCCGGCCGCCATTGGCCGGCGAGCGGCGCCGACCGCGCTGGCCACACCCCTCGCTCTGCCGACCTCGGCGGCCGCCGCCGCGGGCACCGCCGTCCGAGAGACGCTGCGCACCTCCGTGACTGTCCGCTGACCCGTGGTGACCCGTGACGGATTGTGACGAGCCCGCCGCCGCGTCACGGCTCCGCTCGGCGTGACGTCCAGCACAGCGGCCGCCATCGAAAATCATTGCTGAACCACTTACAGCGACGGTCATCGGCGCTGCGGCCGCGTCGGCGCCGTCGTCACCACCGACGTGGGGCGGCGTGGGAAAACGCCAGGTGCCCGCTGTAATTAATGGCATGGCAAATAGATGGCGCTGGATGGGGCGGTCGGTCGGCCGGCCGGACCGCCACCGCCGGTGATGGCAGCCAGTCGAGGCCCAGAGCTGACCGGCGCTCTAGTGCGTGCTCTCGGGATGGTGTTGGTGGAGGGACGCGCCCTGGCTCGGGCCGCGCGCCGCTGACCCGTGCCCGCCGCGCGATGGAGCGTCCCGGAGCCGGCGGCGCCGAGTACGGCCCGGGCGCCGCCTACTGGGAGTCGCCGTTCTACCCGGTGCCGGCGGCGCACTACGGCCCAGCCGGCAGCCAGGCGGGTGAGTGGGGACCGGAGAGGGGTGCAGGCCGGCTGGAGGCACTGGTAGACCAGTCGGTGAGTCTGACACATGCTGGTGGGGCTGGAAGACCGACACTTGTGGCTCGACTGCGAGTCCGCCGGCCAAGGAGAACCCACGGAGGGGATACACCGTATTTCGTTCCGTTTGACCCATCCATTCTCACTGATTTAGCGTCGTAGTTAATAGATTCTCGCGGTTTGAGACTGTTGCAAGACGGAGCTAATTGCTGGGAATGCCAGTAGGCTAGCTTCCGTTCCGTTCCCATAACTCATGACGATGATTAGGGCCCGAGTCCGCGGCCCGCTGGAGTCATTAACAGCTCATTTTTCACAACTGGTAGTCGATCCCTAACGGGCGGTGTACATTAGTTCGTCGTTTAGGCGCCAGTATAGTCTCACCGGCAGTAGTAATTTTGTCTCGACATCTGGCTTGATGAGAGGTGTACGTAATGGACAGGTAGGCGGCCAACTTGTCAATAGTCTGTTTCGTACTGTTGTGTGCTTTCGGTCTAAATTGTGACGAACAATTTTACTGCTGATTATGGTTCGTGGGCTAAAAAATCAAAGTTAATCACACTTTTCCTTCTAAACATTAGATCGATGCAACGGTTTATGCTATTGCTTAGGTAGCTAGCTAGCCATGAGGTCAGGTGCATAATTCTATTTCCCTCTGTAATATTTTATGGAGGCGTTTCCCACTGGGTACATGATCAGCAGCTGCTGCCGTGTGTGTAATCCCCTTGGCCGACATTGCAGGACAGGTGTCCGTTTCCAGCGGCCGTGCAGCTCGGCCAGTGGCCGGGGTTCGCGAGCGTGAGAACCGAGCCCGTGTCGGCCGATTAACGTATCTGCCGGCGCACCGCCTCCTGCGAAACACAGGAGCTGGGTCTCTCCGGGAAGTGGCTACCAGGGCACTAAAGAGTCGTGGCTACCTTGCAATGTTTGCAGCCTGCAGTTGTCTGCAGTTAAAAATTGTTTCAAAGGAAAACGTAAAAGATAGGACTTTCTCTAATGGAAGCGTTAATTTTTATTACGGCTAGGTTCAATGACGCCGAATCATAAACGCCTCAGTTCAACTTCTACATTAATATGGTAAATTGTTATCGAATGAACAGTGAATGATTTAACGCGAAAGATGCAATGATTTTGGTGAAAAGTGGTGCAACAAAAACGTCTACTAACGAATGAAATTGGAAAAGCTACAAGTCGGTACTATGTGCGATTTTCTGGATGAGATGCATCAAACTTATTCAATAGCTTACTCGTATGTGCAACTTTTGCGGTCTTGGATATTCTTGGACTCCTCCAGACGATATTCGAGTTAAATCCTTTGGTGGCATTTGCAGCGCGATTCTGTGGTGTCCGCCCACGCGTCGGTGACACCAGCTGTGCACGTGTCCTCGCCGCGTCGGCACGTGCAGCAGATTACCGAGCCGGGTGGCGACACGTGCGGCTCATGTCGCGGCACGTGTCACCCGTGTCGCGGCACGTGTCACCCGTGTCCCCGTGCACGCGGTGACCTGGGTCGGGCCATGGCGGCTGTCCTATGGCTACTGTTTGTGGGCGTGAACCTCGAGATGAGCCAGCGGTGGCTGCGGCGCCCCGTCCGATCCGCCGGCCCGCCCGGCCCACAGCCGGAGAGAGAGAGAGAACTATTGATTCGGCGTCGGGCCGGTGTGAACGCCGCAGCTGACGGCCCGCGGCGGCCCCGTCGGACGGGCACGGCCGCGCCGCGAGAGAGCCGGCGGGCCGACAAGTCGCCGATCTCCGGCCGACACGGTCAGAGAGGCCGCTGAACGGACTCAGCCGCTCGGCTGGACCGGCGTATGACTGAGCGAAAGGGCCGGTCAGCTGGGATCCGAACTCGTTCTGTACCTTGGTACTGCGTGGCGGGCACCATGTGCCTTTGTTGCGGCTGAACTACCGAAATATGGGATTATCTTTGACAGTCTCACGTATGTGCGACTTTTGCAGCTTGTAGCCTTTTTGGGTTCATGCTGTTCTTGTGCTTGTTCTGTCCTGCCCTGGGGAGTTTGTACACTGTACAGCTCTCGATTTTCTTCATCGCTGGCAGAGTGAGGGCTGCTTCGCTGCATATACTGATGCGCCCACCCTCCCATACTAACACCCCTCCCGGGCCGTGGCTTGCTGATATCCCGCCCCCGTCCCCCAGTGTATCCAATGCCAGCAGTCCTGGGGGATAATGCCGTTTGCCCCGCTCGTGTATCGCCCAGTGCCGACGTCTATCACAGGTATTCTGTCTCTCTCTTCCGCAGATTGGGCCAACCACGATGTCAAATACAACGGCGCGTACAACAGATGTGAGCGCCTATTTATCTGTGTTAGCACTGGGTCTCTGTGGTAGTCGATGGTGGCGGGTCGGCGGCGGTCATGGACGAGGGATCGGTGTCTGTTGGATCTACAGATGTTTCAGCTTCATGCATGATTTCGAGCGGTCGCTTTGCATCCCATGTCAGCTTGCACCCTAGGGGTGCAAAGGCTGGCCGAAACTGTTGTCGAAAGCATGCTGGATCGTAACTGTTGGTGGCTTCAGTGCTGGTGGCTGGCGGGGAAGGATGCGTCTGATGATGTGGCTTCGAGACCTTGCTGCTGCTTTGGGCTGTTGGTGGTGTTACTAACCTTATTGCATTTCGATCGTAATGGTATTTTTAAGGGATTACCTCTAATCAAGCACGATTGAAAACTTGTAGTGAAAACTTTGCGCATACAATGCATTTCGCTGAGGAAAAGTAACCTAAAAAATGTTGCGATACTTCAATGATATGCTGCTTGTGGCTGTTCCATCTCATATGGCATGGGGCAACGTGAGACTGAACTTGACTTGTATGTTAGCGTAACACGCTGTACCGTCCTACAGCTGCCGTCACTCCGCTGTGCGCCGCCGGCAGGTGCTGACGGTCCTCCCTCCCCGTTCCAGATCTGAGCGGCGGCCCGCTGCTGCCCGGCTCTCTGACGCCGCCCGACAAGCTCGGCTCGGAGCTCGGTCTGCACCCGTCGCCGCACCACCCACACCACCCGCACCACCCGGGCGGGCACCCGGCGCAGCTCGCTGCCGCCGCAGCCGCCGCCGCCGCCGCCGGCACCCATTTGATGGGTGTGCCCGGCTCGGGGCCGCTATCCGTCAACACCCTGTCGAGCATGCAGGCACCGCCCAGTCCGCTGCCCACGCCGAGCCCGCCAGTGCCCTACCCGATGGCGTGAGTACCCACTTCTGACCGCGAGCGAGTGGAGGGTCGTTTATTGTATGCACTGTGTGTTGCATTTAACGCAGCAGGTGTTTTATGCAACTCTATGTGCGGTAGCATGGAAATGTGTGCGCTTGTTCGGTTAAGAGGCACAGTCATCTGAATCATTTCTAACATTCATCCTGTTTTCTTCTTTAACCTTTCGCTCTTACCGTTTTCGTGCTACAAATCATTCCTGATTCCGTTATTGCGACATCCCAGAATGCAAGTTCTTGTGTGTTAATAAAAATTTAGGAGTGCAGGTAGTTTCTTGGCTCCCCTCCCCCGCCCGCTACATTTCGCCCCCGCCGTTTACCGACCGCTGGCGTCGCCGCTCGGTTCCCGTCACGGCCGCCGGCCCGTCACGCACGCCGCCGCTCGGTCGCCATGAATTGTTGACGCCGGCCGCCGGCCGCGCCCGCTGAGGATGGGGTAATTGGCGCCGATCGTATGGTTAATGCACAGTGTCATCAGGCTGACCGCGCCGCGCCGCGAATTAGCCGGCCCACCGACGGGAACATGCACAGGCTGGGCGCTGTGGGCGAGCCGAGCACATGACTGTAAATTACCGGCTCGTTGGACGTCGACCAAAGTGGCCTGTACAATTAGCGAGCCGGTTAATGAGCCGTGGTGATACACGGCTGTGACGCCGCTGTAGGTGGGCCGGGCTCGGCCGGCGGCTGTCCGGGCCGGTTCTTATGTCGGCGTTTCTCGCTCCTTTTCGAGCTGCTATCGAAGTCGACGTGCGGGCGCCGGCTCGGAAAATGATGGATGCTTTCACCACCGACCAATTACGGGCCCACGCGCGCGCTGTCGGCGCCATTTTGCATGCTCGGCCGGTGCCACAGCCGACGTTGGGACCGGTTCTGCGCGGCTCGGACGTCCTCTCGGCGGCCCGTACCGCCGGCGGCGGGTCGGTGGAGGGCCGGCTTACTGGCACGTGCCGCAGAGCCGGCCCCAGTCAGCTCAGCGCGATAATGGCGGTTGTTGAGTGGCTGGGTGAAGTGGATGACAATTTTGAAGTACTAGACGTCCCTGACGGTTAGGACATAAGTTTTAACGTGCTCTGGGCTAAGCAGTGTTATGCTTATTTTCTGTTGCATTAGTAAATATCAGTATACTTCTAGCGAAGCGGCACAGCCGTTCCATAGCGAAAATCACACCTCATTCTGCTATCTTAGAACATGCTAGAACTTACATGGTAGAGGATGCGGTCTCCCTGTTCTTGTCACTGGGAATGAACCTAACCTCCCCGTCTCCTCCTCTGGGCAGTATGAAGGACCAGCGTCTGACGCGGGACGCCATGAAGCGCTACCTGGAGGAGCACGGTGACCAGGTGATCGTCATCCTGCACGCCAAGGTGGCGCAAAAGTCGTACGGAAACGAGAAACGCTTCTTCTGCCCACCGCCCTGTATCTATTTATACGGCGACGGCTGGCGGCGCAAACGGGAACAGATGCTGAAGGAAGGAGAGTCGGAGCAGGGCGCGCAGCTGTGCGCCTTCATTGGCATCGGGAACTCAGACCAGGACATGCAGCAGCTCGACCTCAATGGAAAGGTACGTGTAGTGTGGTGCGGAGGAAGCGGGGTTGATAGGGGTGACGATGTGGCAGTGTGAATCATCCTTTAGCTAATGATGGACTATTATGCAGCGGAAATGTTTACCCAAGGTGCCGTTTTGCGGGCTAGTGTGGTTCTGCTGTCGGAAATGACTTCCTCAGTAATTGGCTGTGCAGCGTAGGTTTCGGCTTAATGCCTGTTTTCGTTGTTCATTAATGTCTTCCTGTCAATTAGCGTAAGACTGTTACGGCCTGAAGTGTTGTGTATGCGGACAAAGCTGCACTTGTCTGACCTTACTGACGTGTGCGACCATTCACAGCACTACTGCGCGGCCAAAACCCTGTTCATCTCCGACTCGGACAAGCGGAAACACTTCATGCTCAGCACCAAGATGTTCTACGGAAACGGCATGGACATCGGCGTGTTCCACAGCAAGCGCATCAAGGTCATATCCAAGCCCAGCAAGAAGAAGCAGTCGCTGAAAAACGCGGACCGTAAGTAGAGATACATTCTGCATGCTTAGTGCGATCGCCGTTTTACTGTCGGCATTTTTTCCCATGATTTGCATAAAAAACATTAGGTACTTAAGCCGTTACTACGTGCCTTTTCTCCGTCTCTTCGTTCGCTGTTCGTTTCACGTTGAGCTGTGTCCTAACCCCGCCTTTCTCTCTCGCCAGTATGTACCGTTGAGCTGTGCTCTAACCCCGTTCTCCTTTCTTTCTCGCCAGTGTGTATCGCCAGCGGCACCAAGGTAGCGCTGTTCAACCGGCTGCGCTCGCAGACGGTCAGCACGCGCTACCTCCACGTGGAGAACGGCAACTTCCACGCGTCGTCCACGCAGTGGGGCGCCTTCACCATCCACCTGCGTAAGTGACGAGTTCACTCTGACATCAGTCGGACAGGGGATGGGGCCGCCGAGGGCCGGTGTCTAGCGGGCCTGTGGGTCGTGGTTTGCATTTGAAACGGGAGTGTGCTATTAATGTCGATGAGACGCTCATGGGTTGCACATTTTCAAGTTTTGTTAATGGGCCTCGAGACAGGAAAAAAAAAACTCGAAAACACTAGTCCGCATGATGAGTGAAAGGTTGGATTCTGTCAAGCCTCCAGGCTGTCGGAGTTATTATGTGCCTGTATCATCTTGTTGCCGTACTTCGGCGGCAGCGGCTTCATATTCTCCGTACTCGCTCCATCCCTGACCGCCCATTTCCTCCTCTCTGCGCAGTGGACGAGTCGGAGTCGGAGTCTGAGGAGTTCACCGTCCGCGACGGCTACATCCACTACGGCAGCACGGTGAAGCTGGTCTGCTCCGTCACCGGCATGGCGCTGCCGCGACTCGTCATCAGGAAGGTGGACAAGCAGATGGCCCTGCTGGACGCCGACGATCCCATCTCGCAGCTGCACAAGGTGGCCTTCTACATGAAGGACACAGAGCGGATGTACCTGTGCCTCAGCCAGGAGCGCATCATTCAGTTCCAGGTGAGGACGGCGCCCGTGGGATGTTCAGGCTTCAGATATTATATAGTGACGTCAGCTCACGAATTAACGATCCTTGTGGAAGTTACGTGCTAGTTTAACGTAACGAATTGTTTGACAGAGATAATGCGGGGCAAGTATCGATAGATTCCTCTCATCTCCCTCAGGACACGGAGGCATAGCATGTAGGAGGCACTCAGTTTTAGCCCTCTGACGTCATTCTCGCCCCCGCAGGCGACGCCGTGTCCCAAGGAAATGAACAAGGAGATGATCAACGACGGCGCGTGCTGGACCATCATCTCGACGGACCGGGCCGAGTACACCTTCTACGAGGGCATGGGCCCCGTGCGGACGCCCGTGACGCCCGTGCCCATCGTCCACAGCCTACACGTGAGTGTCAACACACGACCGGAACACGACCGCCGCCACTCACTTAGTATGGGTTCGATTATAGCAGTTTTCAGGCTCTTTCACTGCGGGTCAAAGTTCTACCGCTTTTGTTTATGGTAATTCGTGGTTCGGTCTTGTAAGTGAAGTTACTTGCATCTAGTTCAATCCAGACGAATATCCATACTGCGTCGGGAACTGGTATCACGCAGTTCCCAACAACAACGTGCCCCTCCACACCCTCCCTCTGATCATCTCTCTGACCTCCGGCCTCTGCCCCTCAGCTGAATGGCGGCGGCGACGTGGCGATGCTCGAGCTGGCCGGAGAGAACTTCGGCCCCAAGCTGAAGGTGTGGTTCGGAGAGGTCGAGGCCGAGACCATGTTCCGCTGTGGAGAGTCTATGCTGTGTGTGGTACCCGACATCTCAGCGTTCAGAGGCAACTGGCAGTGGGTGCGGCAACCGACCAACGTGAGTGCCGAGAGGGAGACCGGACGGGTGGGGTCGACGGCGCTAGGGTTTGTTAGTTCTCTATCGCTTTCATTTCTCGTTCAGTAAGACTCGTGGAAGATGAAATGAGTTGATAGATAGGCTCATGGCGTTGTAGTTACATGGTACATGGGCTCATTGTACTTTAATATTTCATTGACAATGACGAATATTGTTTTGGGTAAAATCTGATTTCTACTCTTGTTGATTCAGTTAGACAGACATTGAAACCGTACCATTACCAGCTGCTATGTTTGCCTGTGAAATCGCCAGCGTCAGGCTGGTGCCTGACCGGTGCCTGAACTGTACCTGACCGCAGCTGTCTGTCCCGCTCCCCAGGTACCGGTGTGTCTGGTGCGGAACGACGGCGTCATCTACGCCACGGGTCTGACGTTCACCTACACCCCGGAGCCAGGGCCGCGGCCGCACGTATCCGGCGTCCACGACGTGATGCGGCCCGGCGCGCCGCCGCCGCCGCCGCCCCCCGCGCCCGCGCCGCAGCGCATCGCCGCCATCGACAACATCATGCCGTACGACACGCCGCCTAGTATGTAGGCGGCCTGCCCCGGCCGGGCCGGGCGGGGCACGGGCCGCCCAGTCGTGGGGACGGCGCTCAGTGATGGGTGACGGCGGCGCGCGTGGACAGTGGCCCGGGACGGACGGACAGACGGCCGACCGGCCTCGGCGCCGGCGCGTTTCATGTGATATTGAAATATTATCGTGGTGCACCGACGCGGCGCAGACTATGTGGCGGTGCGCGCGCTCGTTGACCTGCCGAGTGGTGTGTGTTTGTGTATGTGCCTGTGAGCGTGCGGCGGCGCGCGCCGGACGCGGTCGAGTCTCAGCGCGCGCGCGGAACGGCGGCCGACAGAGCCGTCAACTGTTTGGATGTACAAACCTTGTTATACATAATATGCTAGAAGTGTCGTCGCGATCTCGGTGCGTAGACGTGTGTGTGCGTGCGTGTGTGCAGAGGCCCGCCAGTGCCCAGGCGGGGAACAGACAGCTAACAACCAAAGGTTTCACCAGCTGTCGTGCGGCGCTCGGTCGCCAGAGGCGCCACCGTCGCCCACTAGGCAGGCCGGCGCTCGGCCCCTCTCAGATCCTGCGCACATATTTATTTCATCTCGTTCTGTACATTGCCGCAGTTTTTCTAAGCAATAATAAATGCGATGCGATTGTTTGTGCAGTTCTGTGTTTCGGAAGAGGCCGACCAGCGTGATGACAAGAGACGCTGTGAAGTGGTTGGTGGTTGGAGTTTCTGTCATCCTTTCATGGACATTATCCAGTCACTCAGAGGGCCTCAAGAAGAGGTTTGATGTCACCAGCAGATCACATTCGATACAAATCTAGACCTGGCACTGCCTGACTCTCGGATAATTTGTGCGCCTACAACTTAAGTTAATGAATCAGCCGAAAATAAAGAGTGGCTGCACAATGAACATTCCTTTGTCATGAATTTTCTGACTTTCTGAGGGTCGTGCTGTTGCCAGGTTATCGGCCGGTGGATTTCGATGCAATCATTTATCCCACCCATTCTAGTGAATCTAAAGAATTTCTCGAGGCATCGACCGCAACACTTTTTACTTTCATTGCCTGTTCAGTTAGCTGTTACGTCATCTCCGCCTCTCATCCTCAGTATTTTTGGCGTAGCACCTGATCTTGAAACATTCCATCATAGGCATGTATAAGTTAACGAAATAACCAAATCACGACCGTTGCCTGGTCTCATGAAACCTCGAACGGAAGTGGTGGTAATTGGATCGGATGTGATGGGAATGGGTTCATCTTCGTGGTAACGTCTTTGCGCCCCTGTGCTTCTCGGACCTAACCGACCCTAGCTAGTACTCCATCTACCTCAACAGAGACGGGACCTCCCTCCGACCCCTAGAACTCCAACTATCTCGACAGAGGCAGGCGGGATCACCTTCCAACCCCTAGAACTCCAACTATCTAGACAGAGGCGGGACCTCCTTCCGACCGCTAGAACTCCATCTATCTCGACACTCGACAGAGCAAGGCGACAGACAGGACCTTCCTCCAAACAATCAGGATAGTTGTGAAGTGTGACCGTTCAGTCGTTGAAAGCCACCATCAATGACCAGCCTGTTCATTCGGGCGCTGCTTGATGCCACGCCAATTAATTCGTTTCTGCCTTCTGTGGCACACAGCTCAAGGAAAGAAGACGGAACGTACTCCTGAATTCCACCTGTTTCTTCACTTGAATTATCCCTCCGACTACCCCACGACGGAAGCGCCGGATGACTAACTATCCGCCAAAATAACAGTCCGTCCGTATAAACGAGCGTCATGTATTTGGTCGGCGTCGTTCTGTACATGTGCATGTGAGGGCAGGCCCGGTCGCACGGCCCGACAGGACTCAGCAGGCTCATACTTTCAGACATATAAAATTAGCATAATGGAGCGCCTCCGGTCATGAGAACAAGCATGAGCTGGATACGGTAATTATGTACACAACCGCAGTAGCGCCGCAGCAATACGGTGGGAACTCGTTTAAAACGAATCGTTAAAATGCACCAGTTAGAAGCAGATTATTTCAGTCAGTTGGATACGAATGCAGGGTTATGGGGAGCAATGTTTCATAATTAGACTAGTAGCGAGTAATGTCTGAAGAATGTTGTGGTTATGCAATTTTCAATACACCGTGGGAACTAAGGCTATAAGCGAACGCCAGCAAGACATCGACAGGAGTCAGCAGCACTCCCCCAACAGTCGACAGCCCGCCCTCCTGAAGGCTCCTCGGACCCCGTGGATACTAGCAGTAGGCCTACACAGTACACAATCTCTGACACAACGCACACCCAGTCGTTGATCTATCCTACACTCGTCGAGCTCGTATCACAGACAATGCCCGGTCGCAGACACGGCGGCGGCGGCGGTGGCTACCCTCGTCAGATGGCCACCCACTGCTGGACGTAACTGGACCGTACCCAGGCGCCGTGACTCGTGTCGTGTCAGCCAACTGAGCGGTTTCGGTCACTATGGGGTCGCCACTGGACCAGACTATTCTACAGTACGATCTCACACTCAACGCCGTACACTAGCGGGGCTCTGCTGAATCAGTCAATTAACGCGCATCACTGTACAACGAATATCTTGCGGAAGACGTTTTGCTTACACAAATATGCATCGATTAGTGGAAACAGCGGCATGCACACGAAATATCGCGCAGTTCTAAACTAAATATAACTTCGATAGCATTGATAACGTGTTTCTATAATATGTCGTTCGCATTCATGATGAATAGTTATGAGTGTGATGATGCGATGATGTTGATGATGATATGAAATTTTCGAGCGACTTTGTGGCCTAACGCGAATGGTCGCATGTTATCGGCACTATGAAACTAGTTATTTCGTTAGTCGAGTCGCTAGCAGGCATGTTCTCGGTCCCCAACAGTCCTATTTCTTTAGTTTATACAACAACCACTCCCGTTTCTGCTATGCGTCGCACTCCAAGTCCAAGCTGCATCCTATAACAACAATCTCAGGAGAGCCACCGATCAGGCCACTGCACTGTTAGTCCACAAGAGTCCCAGCTCTCAATGAGCCGTCTCGCCCAGTCTACACACAGCGGCACGGCCGGCGGATCCTGTCCCCCTCACTGTGCTGGGAGCGGTCGCCGCACCAGGCCCGCTATCCGTACCGGCTCAGTGGGCTGACGGGGCCGCTCTCCCTTGGCTGCCTGCAGGTACCGCGCCGCCAGCGGCTGGTCCGTGCTGGAACACAGGGACACAGTATGTCATCGGGTGGTCAGTGATAAAACATGGCAGATAAATATGCCAGTGGCTTGTATGTGATGAAACGCTGTACAATATCATATAAGCTCCACCACACCTACCCTGCTGCGTAGGTGAGTCGTTAGGTACTCACTTTGTGGCGTCCTGCAGGGGCGGTCTGGGCGGCATCCCTCTGGGGGCCGGGACGGTGCCGATACCCTTACTGCCCAGCGTGTCCGACCGACTGGATGTCTGACAAAGGGACGACAAACGTCAGAAAGTGTGAGCACAGCTGGCGATTTACAAGTGGCAGAGCATAACGATCAGGTGTTTAGTAATAGTAACATACCCTTTAACGTGAGTAGCCCAATACCACCACACAATAACTGAGACGGTTGTAGACACCATCCAAACGCAAACAATCGTACACGTTCACGCACAAGACACCACACTCCACACAGTTCCTCTCCGGCCCATTTCACCACCGACCAGTCCCCACCGCCCGGCCGGGCGGTCGGACGGTCAGCAGTGTGTTCTCTCTCACCTGTTCTCCAGTCCGCGGCGCCGCCGTCGCCGCCGCCGCGGAGTCGGCCGGAGGCTCCCGTAGTCGCGGTGTACTCAGGGACGATACAGGAGTGGAGGCGCTCGGAGCCGAGCCCAGCGTGGTGCGCAGATCTGTCGGAGGAAGACAGCTCGTCAGTGGGGGGCGGAGGGAAATTGAGGGGGGGGGGGGAGATTGGCAGCGGCACTTACATGTGGTGACAATGATGCGTTGGTCCCAGCGAGGAAGGAAAACTATCATTTGGCAGCATGTGCTGCCACAAACTGATACGTTGCTGCCCAGAACTGATACAGTACTTGACGAACAAGTCTTTTCTTCAAACGCATGTCTCCAACGTTGAGTAAAAGCGTCACCCTTACAGTGAAGGCCCGCCAGAAATACAGGGTGTTCGCGATAAATTTGACACTCCACCAACTCTATTGAAAATGCTTGATATCTCAGGAAGTAACCGATGGATTTCCACCATTCAAATTACAGACGATAGCCCAGTACATGTAGTTTTCAATGCATTCAAAAAATTGTCCCCATCAATCTTCTAACACCTTCAGTGAGCCACTTGACCTGGAGAAGATGGTCTTCACATGGTCTCTACAGAGACATGAGGACACCATCTTCAGCCTTGCTGGTCGTTTGACTTTGATGTTACAACAGGCATCGCTGGTGTTTTTTGCAGCTACGCCACATAAGCAACAGCTCATAAGATTGCAGTCTTTTGACTTAGGGGGTCAAATGTTCGGCCCGGTGAGGTTGAGGAAATTCTCCAAAAGTGACTTTTGACTCTTCGCGGAGGGAAAGCCAGGCGACAAGTTTTGTTGGCATGTGAGCCGATGTCCATATGGTCACTCTCTCCACTCATGGCCTCACTGTCGCGCTGAGCAGCTTCACACAGCCTCACGAGGGCAGCTGAAGACCTCCCTTGAAGATGTGGTAGCTCATGATGTTGCCGTCGCTGAACGGGCAGTCGCCACACTGTCTCCTACAGGCCAATGCGTCCATGTTCCGAACGCAGCTCTTTAATTTCACTCTAGCGGCCTTACCAGCGTTTGAAGAGCATTTATCAGCAGTCAAACATGAAAACCGGCGCGGTTGATCATTATGCACGCCACTGTCTTCAAGGATTGTGACAGGTTCCAATTAACCAAGCTCAACAACTTTTCCACCAATAACAAACAACATACTGAGCTAAATATTGCCTTTTACAGATAAAGAATATTCCAACTGGTCTTGAAATAAGAGAGAAATGAAAAACTGTCAAATTTATCGCGAACACCCTGTACACACTGCTGACTTCAAAGTGAGGGCCTCTGTGTACTGACCTGACGCCGAGGTGAGTGATCCGGCCTGTCCGTGGAAGTAGCCGGCCACCGGCGGCCGGCCGCGCGGCTGCGACTGCAGGTCGTTCAGCTGCTTATTCAGCCAGTTTATCACTGCAGACAGAGTCACAGGATGAGACGTCAGATCACACCCCACATTTTGGGGGCAGGGATACACATACACGGATCGATGACAACTACTGGGAGTCAACGATCTAGAAATTACTAATGACTCCTGCAAGCACACTACACGTGCCATAGATGGTCCATTTGTAGTTTATCAAATACGATAAAATATCACCACTCGCCCATGTCACACCGATCGACCAGCTCTCCGCGGCAGCCGACTGCGGCGGCGTCTCACCGTTCTCGTTGGTCTTGGCCAGTTTCTGGGCGGTCTCCAGTTTGGCCTGCAGCTCGGCCACCTCCGTCTGAAGCCGGTCGGAGTGGGCGGCGGCGGCCGTCTGACGCTCGGAAGTCTCCCTCAGCTGCTGCTCCAGCTGCTGGCGCTGCTCAGCCGCCTCCGTCAGCAGCCGCTCCTGCTCCACGGCGATTTGGCTGCGCAGCTTCAGCTG